GGAGGGGGGGGGGCAGAGAGGGTAGTGCTCCCCCCTCCTTCGCTTGGCAGGGCGGGGGACAAGGGCATGAAGCCTCTTTTTCTCGAACTAAAGACAATGTATCTGCCCTCAGATTGCCCAGCTTCATATCGGTGATGCCCTAAAACTGAGCTAAAGAGAAACAAACAGAAGACCCCCTTATACATCGATAGGCCCATCTTCTGTATCATGAGACCACCTTTTTGAACAAAAATAGCCCATGCTCTAGACAATTAGGCCCAATCGTACGTTACAAAGGTCCCTTTGCTCGCTCGGCAGGCTCTGGTTACGAACTAGGAGGCCCCTGTTCTGGGTTAGGACTGGAGGCGCCCTCTATATTTAGGTCCCATTTCTAGGAGGGAGGGAGGGGACTTTCATGCATCAGTTGGCCGCGGTTCCGAACCAAAAGGCCCTATTTTGGAATAATGAGTCCCCTTTGACTAGTTTTGGGAGTAATTCGTAAACCGAAAGCATGCTGATCTAAATTAGGACGCACCTTTATACATTAGGAAACACTTTTCTGAAACAGGAGGCTGTTTTAAGATAGCGAGACCCTTTGCTAGATAATCAGAAGGGCCCTATTCTTGATTTTATCATTGCCGACGCTTGTTCACTTGGATAAAATAATGTGGCAATTTAATAAGGGGCACACGTCCTCGGTGCCCCCAACCCCCATATACGGTACTGTCCGCGAGCCCCCCCCCCCCCTCGCTGTGAGGAGGCCCCATTATGCCCAAGAGGCCCCCCGTAAAATATCCCCTAAGCCAAAATCCGTGCCGCCGCCCCTGCTTGCTCGTACGCCACGTTTCACGCAGTTCCGGGACTGGGCTGCTATACCTGAGCTAACACAGTGACTCTCTTCTCTGCACAAATCCGGATGTGTCCTCACGCCTGGCGGCCTCAGCCGGTCACTTTGACGCCGCCATTCGGGGCTGGTGACACAGGCTCCCTCCTCCCTCAGCCGGTGACACGGCTCCCTCCTCCCTCAGCCGGTGACGCGGCTCCCTCCTCCCTCAGCCGGTGGCATCGTTACCCCTCCCCCAGCCGGTCATCTTCGACGCCGCCACTCGGCCGGTGACACGGCTCCCTCCTCCCTTTGTCGGATCTTCGACGCCGCCACTCGGCCGGTGACACGGCACCCTCCTCCCTCATCCGGTGACGCGGCACCCTCCTCCCTCAGCCGACCGAGATCCCAGCGCCATCGGCGACGGGGTGTGCCGCGTGCACCCCGGGGTGTGCCCCATGCACCCCAAGCCTCTGATAACGCGATGGCCGCTGCCACCGACCCCGTCGTTGAGCTGCGCGTACAGCTATAGCGGTGATATCTCACCAGATACCGCTGTATCGTCGCAGAGGATTGTCCTGAGCTCCTCGCTGACAACGAATCAGCCCGGCGAACGTCGAGCCTGGCTCAGCCACTGCAGAGTTATAAATGCCTGCTGACAGGGGTGCTCCTAAGACCGTCCAACCTCTGACACCCTGAGGCCAGTTCCAAAAAGACTATCGAAAGTAAAGGTTGGAACCAGTCATCGCATGTAATACCACACGTGCATAAAAATGAATGCGAGTCCGAAAGCGATACAGTAGCAAATCGTAGCACGTATTTTCGATCCATGAAGCTTGACTACAGTAGTGGATAACACTGACACCAACAGACGACAATCACCTTTAACAACGAGAACCCATTTGCCATAAACTGCCGTTGTCATTCGCCATACGCTGTTAAACCAATCAAAAGTATTTCCAATCATCCAATCCAATGGATGATGTATGTACATACATCATCAATTAAAAACATTTCCATGCAAGCAAATATGACCGGTCAGACGGCGTATACCCGAATAAACACCTGAATTCAGTGCAATGAAGCCTCGCGATTTTGGTCGCACGCCTTCATAATGTGTTGATCTCCGGCGCATGCAGCCGGAGCCAAAATGACTGCGACGTACGTAGTACCGTAGGCGTGGTGTAGCGCTCCTTTCTTTGATAGAAATACACCGCCACAACTACCACATTGCTTTCGAATGTGACAGCTTCAGGACAAAGTTGGCCAAATATACTTATTTCACCCTTTATTTCACCTAAAACGCTTAGCTTTGGGGGACGAATTTTGGAAAACGGACTTCACATTTCATTTCGGACAAGGCTGCCTTGCGGCGTATGTGTCCTACATTTAAATGTCGGTTATATTTAGGTGAAAGCGTCCTAGGGGAGCGGAAACCAATGGGACCGGGGGGAGGGGGGGGGGGGGAGGGAGGAGGCTGGCCCCATCTTTCTTAAATCTAGCATTAGCCCTATAAAAGTGTTGACTGGAAATAAAAAGCCAACATGCCCATAGTCCCGTCAACTTGAGAGAGCTTCCAACGTCCCGCGAATGTCCCTTTCACGTAATGGTGTGAAGATGATGGGTGAGGGGGGGGGGAATTAACCCTCAACTCCCTTGTTATCTAGCATTAACCTTATAAAAGTGCTGACTGGAAGGAAGCAATCAAAGTAATGCCTATAGTCGCGCCAACTTGCTTCCAACGCACCCCGAGTACCCCTTTCACATGATTATATCTCTCAGGCTACTGGAGCGTCCCAATGTGCCACGACCACGACCATGTCCAAATTAAATTCTTAGTCTCATACAACTTGCATTACTGGATAGCGACTAAGGGTTCACATTCGGTTCCTAATTGTAATGCACAAGATGTCTCGCATGGAGTTCTTAGGTACTAAACATGTGTAACTCATTGCGAAAAGCGCGAGCCAATCCGACCGCATAATTGCATTCCCTGCCCCACTCGTGGATTTATTCGTCAGGGTTTTATGGAGAATTATCAATTCTCAAGTGATGGTGTGAAAAATGTTATCGAAAATCATCGGCTCTCAAGAGACTCGCCCCTCCCAAAAAGCAGCATGCATTGCGCTGGGGGTGAAAAATGCGTCGGGAAACACAAGAAAAGAAGCTGCTTTTGATTCACAGGGCAGGCGTCTTATAAGTACCGCTTCACAGCTCCTTGAACTGGTACAGAGCTTCTGCAGGCTACCCGCGCAGTGAAGCGGGACAGAACTTCTGCAAGCGAGCTTGCTTCGCTGCTGCCCCAGGCTATTGACCCCGTGGAGCGGGATGCTGCTCAGAAGCCGATGAATTCGTCATCGCACACGCGCACCAGCGCCACCTGTGTCAAACTCAGGGGCGTGGAAGGAAACACGCCCCACTCCCCTCCGGTAGATTCTGCGCCCTCACCCGAGGGTGCGTGCTTCAACCCATCAACTTATTGAATTCCACCATCAATTTGTTGAATTTAGAACGCAGCCTTTCTCATTGGCCTGAGACGACATGTGTTCAGTGCTATTACCACCACTGCGATGTTGTGGAAGGCGCCAGCGCGCGCGACTCGTGGTGTAATGTACAAGGCTACGTTCGCATGGACAGTTACGGCCGGTGCGGGGCATGTAATACGCCCACATTAGCATAAGCGTGAGACCGTGTGCGGTCTTGGGCTCACGCCACTGCAGCCTAATGAGGCCAGATAGAATGCATCCATTGGGAGGTCCGACAAAGGCTGGAGCGTACGTGCGAGTACACTACGCTTTCGGAATGGAAACAACGCCACGACGTTCACTTAACAACCAAGGACTAATCGAAAAAAGACGCCTCCCTCCCATGGGTGTGACCGTGTCCTTGAGTTTGTGGGACAAATCAGGAGTGGAAGGATGACACTAAAATGTGGGGGATAACCTAGCCTGAAAATTGCATCTTAAATGGAAAAACGCGAGAAGTATTACGTTAAACATAAAATTGGAGGGAAGGAAATCACACTTTGTGACGGGGGACGTGTTCTCCAGCCCCCTCCCACCTCCCAACGCCCACCCTCCCAAGTGGTTACACCCACGCCTTTCTCCAAGGTAAAATTTGTCGTTGAAGCGCGTTGCCACGTCTCCCCCGCGGTCGTTATGTCCCCTCATCAATAACCCCGAGGGCGTAATCAAGGGGGCACCGTGGGCACGGGCCTTCACCCGACCCCCTCCCCATTCAAATTCGTACAAGGATGAATATACATGTAAGTGAATTACAGTGCTCAATAACTCAAGATACGCGCATACAAATAAGTAGATTGAAAATATGCGACGTGTTTATATGCCATGGAAGAAATTGCGCGGGCTTGTGGCCCGATAAAGGGGTTTTCAGCCAAGCATCTTAAGTTGTGTTTGCCACTGCAAAACCCTGCGCACGCTACTGAACAGTCCTACAAATGGGGATGGTTACATAACATCTCAGCGGCGGAATCATGCTGTTTCGATGTTTGTACAGGATACGGATAATTCCACTGGAACGAAAGCATATAGACGTTGTGCACCACAATTCAAGCTAAGCCTCAATATGGGCGGGTTCGGTAACAGACTCGGACATGAACCTCCCAGCTACCACCTCAACGCTTAACACACCATAAATGTTGCGCGGAACCTCAAAGGCGAAATGATTCATGTGCATGCGCGCTAGCAGCTTCGCACCGTGCGTACTAACTTCACCCCCGAATTGTGTGAGGATCGATGTTAACAATTTTATCGGGAGGTGCGTGATCACGCAAAACTTCCCACGAACGTAAACACGGGCTTGATATCGGGCGTTTGTAGTTTGATGCTGGGCTTGCATTTCAATCCATCCACCCATGGTGGGGTCGGTTCGAGCCGCTTAAGGCGCTCGCTGTTTTCTCTTGACAGATATGGCTTGTGGTCGGTGGCGGCGACGGCGCGAAAGGTCAGGTGACGTCTGAGAGCAGGACGGGCCGTGCTCAGCATTGCGGCACGTTAAACTTTTGCCACCGAATTCAGACGCTGGCCTGGAATTGCACGACCGAATGGTATGGGTTAAGCCTCAACAATTACTTCATAGCGTGTGTCTGGGCAGGACCTCCCCAGAAATGCCCCCATTAGCAAAGATTCGGATAATTTGTTACAGCACAGAACACCGATGAGGGTGGGATAGTACTCACTCGATGCGTCCCTTTTCCTCCGCGCGGAACACGGAGTCCTTGCCGAGTACTTCCAGGATGGCCTCCGTCTCATCCTCGGCCAGATCCGAGAGGTCCAACCGTACCACCTCACTCGGCGGCACCCCCAGATCTAGCAACACCGCCCCATCTGGCAGCACAGCCTGGCCGGCGCCGTCCCCTGAAGCTCGCTCAGCCAAGTCAACGGCTTCTTCCTCAGCGCTTACTACTTGCGTTCCCTCTTCCTCTGGACGTCCTTCGCGCGCAAGTTTCACATACTTCGTCGGTCTTTCATCCGATGATTTGGCTCCCTCCGAAATTCCTCTATTCAGGGAAGGCAGGACTTCCAGAGGGTGGCCCCCACTTGGTCCTTGGGCCTTCGACATTCCTCTCTCCATCCCACCTTCGCTGTCGGGTGATACCGTCGCTGATGTCCGCACGGGCCCCGGTCTGCCGAAGACACAACGTTGTTACCTCCTATAATCTCCTATAATCTGCACACACGTTGGTCTTCATGTCAGAGGCTCGACAGAGACAACAGCGCAGTAAAACGAGGCACAAAGGACGTTCTAACGGGGCATATAAAGCAGTGAGACTCGCACGCTGGATGACTGGCATCGTAGTCGCTTACATCTAATGTGGATACATCCAAGGGGACCAGCCTTACACCCACTCTTCATCTGTAGTGTAATGGGGAGCGCGGGGCTACACAAAACCTGCATTAGAGCTAGTGTGTTCCGCGGAATTATTCATAACAACATCTTCTGGATCTCAGGACACCCGAAGTTTAAACATTCAACAGAGACCCAGATATAAGCTATCGAAATTCAATCGGTGTTCTTGTTAAAGCCATCAGGACAGCTTTACTGTCGCCAAAATAGTCACACCCCTGACAGGTTGATAAAGTGCGCTATCAACAAACATTCCAGTTGGGATGCAATGGACTGAACAGTAGCTGCTGAACGATGGTAGTGTGTCCAAATCGCCTCTACAAAAGATGCCGCGTTAAATGAAGCGTCTTCGCCAACGCACCGCAGGAGACAGAAAGACGTGACAAATCAGATATGTCCATGAGTGAGAGACCGAAATTGCGAACGGCACATAATCGAGAGACCGACATCGTTTATCAAACATGACATTTTCCACTCTTAATCCTGAATTTTGACTCACTGCAGTGATCAACTTGGGTGACAGGATCAATCCACGTGACTGCGCTGGTGTCTTATCAGCACGAATCTGCCATCTGTGCACTTATCAAGCAGGAGTGAATTCTGACAGGTCCAAGAGCAATCGCCCATGGTCCGCCACAGTCTTTCATTGGCAGCAATCGTTGGTATCTGGAAGATATGCTCGCGTTGAATACTGGCGATTGCTCCCAATAAAAGGGTGCTTGAATTATCATTACCTGATAGCCTAGCATCCCAAACTTTGTCCCTTTTCTTGTTACGTCATTTGATGACCCTATTTCAGCCCACATTTCGATGGCACCTGGGCCGAATGTGCACGGGGTGTGCCTGCAGTACAAATACAACAAACGCACTGATACCTAGCGCCGAGGACGATTCGGTCGCCATTTCTGGATAATCTGCAACCGCACCCGGGATGATCAACTCTGATCAACTCCCTGGCCCCCTCGCGACAAGACAGCACGGAAGGACGCTCCGCCGGCCGACCGGTTTTGGCAAACATGCCATTCGTTAAAATAAGAAAATTCGCCACAAATTCCTAGAGGATTCTATCAGACAACTGCCAATAAAAAAAAACAGCTGATCACTCTGTGCCATCGTGCACAAGACAGAACGAAGAGCTCGATACACACGAGATGGCATGAAAAGACACGCCCAGGAACGACGGCATTAGCAATGTCCTTTATCATGGCATTCCATGAACCCTTCCAGCCACAACTGGCCTCGCCAGCCTCCACCGAGACGACCTCTGACGTCAGACGACACCCCGCGCCTCACCTGGCAGCACACTGGAAGGTGACTCCGGCGGTCACCGCGACCCACGCCGAACCTCCGGGCACCCTCGCAGGGCGCCGACCCCCGCCGGGCTGCTTGCCCCTCCAACCAGCTCCGGTCGGCGGCCGCCGGTCCGCTCCGGCTCGCGCGAGGCCTCCTGCGACGGCGGGCTCCCGCGCACGGACGGCGTGACAGTGGGGCGACGTCGCCCGCGGCCGGGGCGCGCTGCCGCATGCACCGACTTATCTCGGCTTTCCCGACTTATCGGAGTCGAGCCGGCCGGCGGCGAAGACGGCCATTCCGGCACGAGTGCGCCGGCTAGGGTAACGCCGGTGTGGTGCGGCGGCGCACCGCCAGCAGAGGTCACACAAAACACGCAGCCATCACAATCACAGTTTATTTTAGTAACCATCGGCCCAACACTGTAAAAATGGTCTTCACTGATAGGTCCCTGCGCTGGCCATCGGCACGCTGCACTGGATGGCAGGAGGACAGCGTCGAATGCAGTCAGCTCCACCTCTCAGAAGGCATCTCAGCCGCACGTGGAAGCCCATAGACAGAGCCCTCATCCTCATGACGTCTGGCGCCCCTTCGCCCCGAAGGGGCGCCGTCCAGCCCCGAAGCACCGTCCACAAAGGCCCCGCCGGGTGCCCCACCAAGCCCGCCCCGTGGCCGTGACCCGAGCCGGCCGGGGCGTCACGGCGAGTCGACAGAGAACAGCTGGACGGGCGAGCGCAGCAGGGACGCGTCGCCGAGCGAGCGGCCCGGGCTGGCGGCCACCGAGGCCGAGAGGGCGCTGCTCTCCAGTAGGCCGCCGGCGGCCGACGCCGGCACCAGCATCGGCACGTGCTGGATGCGTCCGCTCGACCACGCCTGCGGAGCGGCGGTATAGCCGTGAGGCGGACACCCACGTACAGCGCGGCATGATTTACAGCAGAGCACAGCATAGCAAGATCACCAGACGTCTCCACTTGTACTTCTATACATTCAACGTTGTTTGCGCTATTATCAACACTTTTTTAATTCGCTGACTTGTGGCTTTTAAGCACAGCTGACTTACCAGCTGTGGTTGTGGCGACGCGTGCTAAAAGGCGTAGCCCGTTTAATGAAGCCCAGGCTTGGGAGCTGAGGACAGGTGCGGTGGCAACAGCCCGGGTGGGTCTCCCAAACACGGCCAGGCACGAACCGGGCCGGCGCACGGCATTCATCGTCCGACGCGATGTCCTTCAGATAAGCCATCAAAGCGTTCAGTGAGATCAAGGTGATCAGCAACTATGCCACCTACAAAAAAACGGCCGAGCCAAAATCGAATCCGGCACCGACCTAAGTCGCCAAATCGACTAGGAAGCTTACCACGCAGAGGCTGGTAGTGTCCTGCAGGTTCATCTGGAACTCGACGGCCACCGGATACTCGTCCTTCAGGCCGCGGATCAGGCCGCTGAATACAGACAGGACGTGTGAAGGGGCGCACACCGTGGATCAGGCCGCTGAATACAGACAGGACGTGTGAAGGGGCGCACACCGTGGATCAGGCCGCTGAATACAGACAGGACGTGTGAAGGGGCGCACACCGTGCATCAGGCCGCTGAATACGGACAGGACGTGTGAAGGGGCGCACACCGCGGATCAGGCCGCTGAATACAGACAGGACGTGTGAAGGGGCGCACACCGCGGATCAGGCCGCTGAATACGGACAGGACGTGTGAAGGAGCGCACACCGCGGATCAGGCCGCTGAATACAGACAGGACGAGTGAAGGAGCGCAGACCGTGGATCAGGCCGCTGAATACAGACAGGACGTGAGAAGGGTAACAGAAAGCGGATCAGGCCGCTGAACACGGACGGGGCATGTGAAGGGTGCAGACCTGGACGCCGTCCGAGCAGGGCCAAACCGTGTCCTCAAACCCAGACCGACCATGGGGTGTCCGTATCACGAGCGTACGAACCTGACAGACGGCACACGTGGGCAGCTTATCTAACTTACGTGAGTGCTTCGCGTGATGGCAACGTGCTAAGGGGAACCAGCTGGTCAACATTTGTCCCGGCTTGGGAGACAAAGTTTCACGAATACAACATGAAACATCTTTTTCGCAGCTAACCGTGCCGTTTTAAGATTCGGAAATCGAGATGATCGCGAGTTACGGAAAGAAACAGGAGGCAACCCTCCACACGAGTGGACAATCTCTTCCACTAATCTAGCCTCCGCCGCATAAGCCGACCCTAAGGCACAGTGTGCAGGTCGGGACTGCCAGCCAGGAGGTCACCACAAGACGCCGCGATGCGGCGGCGCCAAGTGCCGTACCAGGCGGCGATCCTGAGGTGCGGGTGCAGCTCGGTGGAGAACACGGCCACGGCGTCACTGTCGACGAACGAGACGGCCAGCCGGCGCCCGGTGCTGTCCCAGGTCAGGCCGCTGACCTCGCCGCCGACGCTGGGGACGGCGGGTCACGCCGGTCACACGGCAGCACGCCGGCCGGTATCCCCTGGCGCCGGCCGACCGGACACGCGGCAAACAGGCCGCACGCAGCGGCGCACCCGCAGCCTTGGTAACGGGGGGCACAGGGTTGGCAAGGAGCACACTGATGACAAAAGCCACCCCTTCCCCGAAATAGTCGCTGCATACAGTCCACTTGGTTTCGAAAGGAAATGATTTTCGTTATCGTCTTGTCATTTTGGCCGTCTATTGTTGAAATGAAAGCCAGAAAGCATCGGAAAATGTCATTCTGTTTATATTTTGAAGACAATAAACTCAAGCAAGCGGGCGTCAAATCACCACATGGAATAATCCGCCAGCGCTTTTAATTCTGCAATGATTCGGTGAGCCCCTTCTAAACCGATAGAATACGGCTTTGACCTAATTTCCCTGTGCTGTACAGAATACTATGGGCCCCCGCAACGTAAGTTGTGCATTGAAATGGAGTAAAAAACTTGCATTAATATGGCCAAGTCATGCTCGTCTGGGAATGTTCAACCTTCAGTCAGAATCGTAAGTGGTACAAATTCTGTAACACAGTTTTCAACATGCGCGCTCGCAAGTCTTGCACACAAGAACCCCGATGTTCTGCGTTGAAGTCCCCGTTGGCTTCAAAGCGTCAGATTTGCGGTTACACTAAAGACGACAAACGAGCAGACGGAAATGCATGACGCTCTGAATACGCCTCTTTGAATGCTTTAGAACACCAATTCGTACGTTTAAAAGGTAGTAATCGCGTAGACTTCGCCGGTACCACTTCCAGTGTGATAAAAGAAGCGGATTGGCATTTACTACACCACAAACTGCTGTTTAAATTCGGAGAACTATAAGATAGCATCTCTACAGATGTCCGATGCCCACCGCCTGATGTCTGCAGCGACCAACGCCGTTCGGCTTTCCGGAAACTGCATTCCCACCACAGCCATTTTCTCCTAAGATTGCAAACGTGTAGGTTCAGAACTTTTTGTTATTTGTTTCACAAGCCCATTCTGAAAAGGACGGACGTCTTCAGACAACTATGGTTAGACCATTCTTTATTTTTAACCTCATGTCGAGCCACCGTATTGCATACTTATGACATCCCTTACCCTTTCCGAGCAAGGGGCCCAGTGGGTAGAACACCAGGGGCACATTATCGTTCCCGGCCAGGCGTTGAAGGGCCATTCCGTCCCAGCGCGTGGTGGCAAATAGCTGCCATTCTGGCGACACGGGGGCGGGGCCACCGGCCTAACCCAGCGGCCCTTACAAAGATACATTATACGTTGGTTCCCTTCCTGACGCGAAAGGTCCTCTGGCCCGGGCGGTTAGCCCCAAAGCGACGCAGGAGCCATCATTGACGCACCACGACCCGTCATTGCCACACGTGGTCCAATAATCGGCAGACTCCAAGTCCGGATCCATGGGTCTTGGTTGAAATGGGGTGAAGCCCCCCCCCCCCTCATTCGGTACTGTGGGGGGGGGGGGGGGGGGGGGGCTGACTGGACACGAGGCCTTTCCATTGTCTCATTGTTGAACTCTCATTCATAAACTTTCACGTCGCCCGCATTGACAGAAGGGTCCCTACAACGCCAAAGGGGCACCCTGACATTCGAAGTCCTGTCCCTGTTCAGGCACAACTGCTACCCTGGCCGGCTTGGGACCAGTGGCCGACACGGGGCATGCTCCCTGTAAGGCGCTGACCGTCCGCAACGCCCCTCGCTGTCGTAGGAGCCCAGACTAACTTAAAATCGCGGACCCCGGCCTCGTGCCTCCTTGGAAATGAGGCCCCACAAGCTGCTCAAGGCCCGGGAAGGAGCCGAGTTTTCCCGCGTTGGTGGTCTCTGACAGAAAATAGGGGGGCCGCATTAATCCCAGGGGTTGCCAATCGGTGAAAGAGGCACTGCTGACTGACATCTAAAGGGGCACGTCTCCTGTGCCACCCCCCCCCCCCCCTCCCCCCTTGCCTGCGCCATTGGCCGTATGAAATCCGTGCTAAGATAACGCATCAAGGGGCTTCAACGAGCCATCCACAGAGGGCAATACTTACTGAAAAATTGAAAATGAAGAGCGAAAAGATTCCCGCCTACTTGGTAAAAATATCACCATAAAACACAACCTTCACCAAAGCGGTGCTGCATTGTGCGTTTTCTAGCAGAGAATATGTATGAGAGAAAACACGCATACGAACGCAGCTCAAGAGAAATCAAGACACATCGGCCGGGTGTAGTGCTCACTGGATCATCTCCTTCCCGTGGTCCAGGCGACGGGCAGTGAGGTCAATGACCGGAACAGGCTTGGGTGCCGACTCCATCAGCAGAACGGGCATGAAGGAGAGCGAATACACCACTGAAACAGCAGCACATCCTCGGTCACCCGCACACCTCAGACTCATTGACATCTCCGCTGGGTGGGACATACCGAAGTCAGCTATCCATAAAACAGGCAGCTGGTGATGCCAAACGCGTCGGGATCTGCAGTCCCCTTAAGATGGGAGGGGTGGGCGCCGCCACTGCGGTCACCAGATGGCCGTGGCGTAGCTGGCAGCACAGGTCTCCCGCCGATGAATCGGGCCAGGTTGCACCGAGCACCACAGCGCCACACACACACATCTGACGAGACTGCGCCGCTCC